AAATTCAACAAACTTCGTCAAATTCATCCATAGACAACCGAATATGAACTGAAAACAGAATCTCAGGCAATACAAAGGCGGATTCATTCTGGACGAAGTGAAATCACTAAACCCACGTGGTCGAAAGGAGGAAAAAGTACTCAACTGGCAAGGGAAATCGGACAGGGAGGAAAGCCTCTCAGATCCTTGGTGGCACGAACGACCACCAACGAAGAAGAAAACAGCAGCCAACACCTCGGAAACTACACAAATAAACGTCAAGGACGCTAGGGAAATACGTTCCTCAAGGTCACCACCAGTCAAAATCTTCCCGCCAATCACTGAAGAAAATACACAACCAGCCAAGCAGCGCATCCCCAAAATGAAGACGACACAGGCGGTACAAACGAACAACTTTAAAGTGTTAGTGGGAACTCAAACAGACATTACTGAGGAACGGCCTGAGACACAAGAGGTGTTCATGAGTAGAATAAACTACGATATTGCAAGCCAGGAGGAAGGTGCCCCGAATGAAGAACCGCCCACTATGACAAGAACACAACCCGAAGCCACACAACTGGAATCTAGCCACCATTAAATCACAGAAGGGATAGTGGCAACCGTAAAACAGACAACAATGACGGAAGCAGAGGAGGACACACCGCTGTTCCCACAAAGACTGCAGAAGGTTCTGGGGGTCAATTTCATCGCCGCAGCTACCAAAAAGGACAAGCATCTCAGAGCGCTCATTAATTTTGAGAAAAAGGGGGATTGGGACGCGATAAAATCCGCCTACGGACAGTATTGGTTTGATGCCTGCAACAGACTGCATGTGCGGGAGGACTGTCTGCTGATTGACGAACGCATCGTTATCCCAACACAGTTGCGCCAAACAATACTGAAAAGCCTACACTTGACACACCCAGAGTCGCCCGCCTCGCGAATTCGCTCGTAGAACCAAATGAAGAAGTACATTTAGATTTTAGAATTAAATAAGGACGCTTACATACTCGATGCTGTAGGCAAATGGTTTAAGTTTCAGACAGCGAAAGTTGTTTCGAATACTACAGCGGATGTCGTCATAAAATTCATGCAACGGTATATTTCCAAGAACGGAGTCCCGTCGACTAAGATGTGATCAAGCACAAACATTTACGGTAAAAAAATTCCAACTTCTTTTGTCACACATATCATATTAAGTTACTTTTTGCACCGGGAGACAATCATAGATCCATAGGGGTGGTAGAAAGAATGATACAAACATTAAAGCGTCAACTAGGGGTTATGAGAAAAGATCCAGCAAATACACCATACATATTAGCTTCGGACATTGCCAAGATAGTAAAAACTTTGCGCATAACACCACATGGTGTAACAAAAGTTTCACCTTTTGAAGCACACATGTGCAGAAAACCAAATACTCATCTTTCAAACTTGGCAAGAAGAAGTCCAGACAAATGAAACAATGAAGGATCTGAACGAAACAAAAGACGAACTGGAGCGGGTCAGAAAAACCGAAGAACTGGAGAAGACCGAGACATGTGGAGGAGACTGTTCAAGGATTGCAACATGTGCAGGGAGAGGAGATAGAGCGCTTGAGGCAAGAATATAAGGAGCGATTGGAACGACTGGCATTAACGACAGCAGTAGAAAAAACAATACCCGCAAGGAATGTTCCTCGTGGGCAGTCCCTGATGGAGCTTCTAACGCCTCGCGAACTGAGCCAAACAACGGAAGTGCGAATCCCAACAGCAGCCGGCAGAGTAACAATCCCGGCCCCAAGAGTCACCCTAGATGATCCAGTCGTGGAGCAAACTAAGCAAAAGCTGTTGGAAACAGCTGGACGAAACCGACAAAGACCTCAAAAGCCCCTGACAGGAAGATGAGGGAGATGCCCGTGAAGAAAGCGTCCCGCGTATTTGATATACCGAAGAACAACCAGATTAAGAACAACTTCAAAGGAGTTCCAGATAGGGACATGCGAGCGTGTTTTAATCGATCGACGAGGAGTCCAGCAATGAACATGCAGCAACCGCCGCTAGGGACGTCACGTTTGGTTTTGGGCGATAGTCTGGTGAGACTTTTACAGAACTTAAAGACCTCATAGATCACTAAGGTGATGGCCTTCGGAGGCGCCACAATAGCCCAGTTATGTCGGATGGTGGAGATGATGAACCCAGAAAGAATCACGGATAGAAAGATTTTGATAGGCATAAACAACCTTTCCAGGAGTTCGGACGAGGAAGAAGCTCAGTGGGAGTCGATGATGGTATGCCTACTCACCACGCTATTGCAGAAGTTTAAATGCGTGGTACTGACCGTTTGCACCATACCGATCAGCACGAAGACGCAATCGTCCAGCGGGAGAAGGCACAAAGAAAGAGTCATCAGAGATGGAATAATATCGTGCAAAATCTGGCAAGTCGCAATGCTGGACACATGATCCTGATGAATTTAGAGCATGAGCTGAGAGCTATGGATCAGGCCTGATTCACCACTGATGGGATACACTTTGAGAGCATAGAGGGACAAGGCTGGATGAATCGTGTCTTCCAGGAGCGATTAGATGAGTTAGAGGTTGAACTATTTGATACAGGAGTGCTCAGAGTGGAAGAAGCAACGAACGAATCGGCAATCCCGACCATCGTGCCTCATAATCTGGTGACACGCTTGGCATCAGTCCCAGCACTGCCACAGGTGCCGCAGAGCTCCAGCGAGCAAAGGGAGAGGTCAGAAGTGTTGGATCGACTAGGCAAAGCACCAGTGAGGAGAACCATTCATCCTCGACGGAGATTGGGCCCCATCAAACCAACAGCGGACACGGCCTCAGGCATCTCGAGATCTGAGACGACGAGCACAAACAGGGAGGAATGACGCACATACCTTCCCCCTGGCACGTTTATAAACAAGAGCTGATGAAGTTGAACATTCAAATTGTAATTTTTGCAGTCGATAAGATGAGGTTGTTCAATGGGGCAAAACTCTCCGTGAACGTACACTACTCGATTGTGGGATTGGACTGGTTGAGAGCAGCCGGATATCAATTTTAACTCCACAACGGCACTATAATTTGCTGAACTTTAGGGACTGCCCTCGAATAACACTATGGTCCAGTAAATGCCGGACCCTTAAAAGACATAAGAATGAACCATGGCGAACAAAAAAGAGAAGAGAGGCCCAGGAAGATTTCTGACTACTATAGCACCAATAGGAGCATGTGAAGATGTTTAAACAAATTCAGGCGCCTCCAGCTTACGTGAAACAAAGAACTTATCGAAAATCAGTGGCCCAAGAAGGTGATAAAGAAAGTTGCGCCGGGCTGAGATTTCGAAAAAACGAGACCATCTTCGCGGCATATGACAATGAAGAAATGAGGAAATCTAAGATATTAGTAGTTGCGAGCTCAGACTTTTTGCATACTTCTAAGTCCTTGTTTTGGCCTGACGTAAGAATGCTGGTGGAAACCGACCTGAATTTGATTCAGTCTGTATCAATGGCGATCGATGTTCAACGACTAACCAAAAAGAACCCGATAACAATGGTGTTCGCCGGCATAAATGATCACTCGCATAGTAGGGGTTTCCTGAGCAGACCCAGAGAGCCTACAACGCCAGAAAAAGCAGTGTAGCCACTTTTGAAAAAGACACTGAAAAATCAACCAACTAACTGGAAACCGGAACACAATACATCATTTGGAAACTTTCGGAAAATGCAGTGTGGCCAGCAAAAAAGAGACTTTTTGGAATCAAAGGGCGAGATAATTGATGTGTTGAAAGAAGGCGCATTCCCGAAAAAAAAACACCAAAAGCCGTATTCATGTTGTCTCCTGGACATGCACATCTCCCGAATGGATTGAAGTTTGTGTATGCAATGGTAGCATTATTCTCGGAAGGGAAGTATGATGTGATCATATCTGCCCCGAACCACGAATTGGAAGCGAGAAACCTGAGACAACTTAGGGCACAATTGCCGGCAGTATGGTCTGATATCTATAATGCTATGAGAGGGTTTAAGGACCATTTGCTACATATGCAGACAGCTCAAATTGAAGCCAGGGGTCTGCGACAATCATCGAGTGATAGTGGGAAAATCCAATGATCTGTGGTTCAGGGAAACGGAGATCAAGGAAGAAGGGGAAAAGAGGCAAAACGCCAAAGAAACGAAAGCTCACTTGGAAGCTATGGTTTTGCAAACGAAGCCAGAGTCCAACAAGTGGCTGCACTTGACTCCTCGAATAACAGCATTGGGCACTGACGCTTTCGTGCGAGGCCCAGCGATGATCACCAAAAATTCACGCCTATCTGGTGAAAGAATTCAATTTCGCAGAAAATGCGGGAGAAAAGTCGGCTGAATTTGTGAATAGGATGTGCCAAGTATCTCCTGAAGCATTCTGGACGTAGAATGTAAGGGGGGATGAAGGCTTCGTCAGAACTCAGGGTATGTTAGAAGGGTTGGGAGCAGGATGGACCGCGTCCTCCCTGGCGAAAGTCTACCCGGCTCTCTCTCGCTACCTGATAAGAGAATTTCTCAAAGCAGTCACGGAATTGTCGGTATTGTGATCCTGGCATTGTTTGTGACTTTCGGAGCGCAAAATTTCGTGAAAGGACCAGTGGTACTGCTCATCGAAGGGGTACAAAATCTATGGCTGCACGGACTCCTGACGTTTATAGCGATCACGCTCGGGAACTTGCGAGGACTAATGAACTTGACCCGCTACCCCAAACATATGCAGGAGATTGTGAAAAAGTTTGATATGGAACGATCCACTGACTCCTGGACTAAAGTAAGAGACCTGAAGCATACTCTGATACAGTACCTCCTATAGCAGAATCGCTTTGTAACCGGAGAAGACAAGACGATAGAAAAAGAAGAAGATGTGTGACGTCATGCGGGAGGCATGCCCCTATTGACTGATTTGAATCTAGCTATGAGGACCGATCCCTTAGCGTTAATCAGAGGAACCACTAAATTTGTGGCGGTGATATGTTCCGACAGTGACATTTGCGTTCCCTGACGTTAAGATGGAAGCATACAGAAGGTCAGTGTTGCACCTGAACATCTTTTTGGCAGTGGACGGTAGCGCACTCAATCGGTTGCGAACAAAACGTGCTACGCGAGTTGATGAGTGAAGACTTATTGTTCGCGAAGATAGCAGAGCTGACGGCAATAAACTTTACTGATCATTTCCGTGACCGAATGAGAGTAGAGAGAGGGCACATTGAAGTGTTTCTGAAACTCTGGAATTTGAGGCCCTTCGACAAAACGAACGGCGAAATAACCAGAATTCCTCGTTTAATGGCCTCGTACCAAAACGTGAAGGAAGACTAGGGCGATTACAAAAAACTGCCAGAAGAAATACCTGAATTCCCTTTGATCAGAAGTATGTTGCTCGGAGCAGACTACGTAGCACAAAATCATAGGTTGAGAGCCTTTGAGACTAACGAAAGGAGGATGGTAAACATCTCCGAAACGATGGACCCGTGCTTCGTGGGCAGAATTTATGCCGTGCTGCTATACATGCAGTTTGCATACGTGGATGAGTCAACGAGGAGACGAATGAACAATGCAGCCACTCCGAAACCTAGTAGATTTGAAGAGGAATGGACAAAATTGGACTTGGCGCCAATGGTCATGAGAGGCAAGGCGGACTTGCAAGAGGCGGCGCTAATCATGATGACTGTGAAACAGGAGTTGGCGGTAAGCGGGAAAATGTTGACTAGGACTGCTCTGGCGCCTTCGGCTGTGAGGAGGTCAAAATAAAGCACAGAAAAGAAGAAGAAAAGACAGCGGGCAAGCTAGTCGTGCCAAACTTTCCAGACGAGGAGCAAGGACCTTCAGGGTCAGCGGGAAATCAGAAACGAGACGATAAGGAGGGAGAAGACCGTCGACCGGAAGAACCAATGCAACAGGATCCCGATCCAGCGGGAAAATATGATAAGGCCTCGACAGGTGGATTGTTTGGCCTAGACTTCAATTTGTTGGACGACTTTGAGATCGAGACAAAAACGTTGGAAGGGACGACTGAGCCAGCGGAAGATGAAACTTCCACACTGGAACATCCGTCAGCCTGCATGAATTTGAGCCTAAATTTGCCGGACAGTAGCTCTCCTGCTAAGTTAAAAAAAAACGAAATAAAACTTTCATTGGTGTCTCCGCGGAGGAAAAAATTAGAAGGCACTGCCCGAGTACTTTTCTTGGGAACCTTGTCAGAGGAAGAGTGGGCATCTTAGCACAGGGATCATGAAAACAGAACAGGCTGTAACGTGGACAGATTTGCTTTCATGGAGGACTTTTGGACAGTAGTGCAGTGCTAGGCGACCCAATCGATGTTGAAACCAGGTCTCTACAGACCGCTGATACGAGAGATCCTCGATAAATTGGATGAGTGCGAAGGGAGATTGAGCAAATTGTTGATTGATTCGGCCACTGATGAAAGTGAAGATAATCAAGGCAAAGCAGCAAGAAGGCAACAATGAAGTCGTATACCTGTCCAGAACTCAAAAAGGAACAATGCGATATAAAATGGTGATTGACAAAATTAATGACATGAAGATGAAACTGGGCAGCAAAGTGACATAAAGGAAAATTGGAAAAACAAAGGTAGATTCTGAGATCTCAGCAAAAGCTGTCAACTCAGCCAAACGGAAGCGTGTCGAGGAAGTCATGGATATGGAGCAAGGTGACGACCGATTGCCTGAGGTATGACATGGCGCAGCCAGCAGAATACTCAAAAAACCCGTTGAATACTGACCCATTCTGGGAAAAAGCCTCAGCCGAATCACCACTGGAATGGTCGAAATGGGCAGCGATTTATGAGATGACAGTATTTGTCAAAGGCGGGATCGAAGAGAAGAAGTCTTCAAAAAAATAAACCTCCGCTCGTCGAGCCCACAGAACCGATACGCGAGGTCGAAATAAATGGAGAAACAGACGCTCAAAGGAAAAATCGGGAGGTTCGCAACCGAGAGAAGAGAGTTGGCTGGGAAAACCACGTGGTGAAAGCCCGAGAAAAGAGATTCCTATGAACTCGTTCAGATGGGATGAAGCAGACGCTAAAGTAAGAAATTACATTTTTCTTTGCCTGGGAGCCGAGGGCCAACGTCAAACTCAGCAAAAACAAACAGGCTTTGTGCTGCACGCAATGACAACAAGAGAGCTAATTACGACACTAGAAGACATATTCGTAACAACCAGAATTGTCACGTACGAAAGATACAACTTTATCCGCAGAAAACAGAAGAAAACGGAAGCCTGGAACAATTTCATGCTGATCTGGGAGGACAGAGAGGGCGAGTGGGTGCATGCTCACGGCACGCATGCACAGTGAAAAGATAGCCGAAGAGTTACTCGCGCAAACAAGAAGCCCACAAGATGCGTATGAGTGTGCAATACGCAGAGAAAAGGGGATCGAACATAGCCGCACAATGAAAACGAATCCGTTCGGAAATCAGGTAACAGCAACAAAACAGGAACCAATACACTATATCAATACACGGGTACGAAGTACCTCAAAGAGGCCGCGGAAAATTTGGAGACGCGTATATCTTCGAGGTCAACAAAACGCAAGAGGTCAGCCTCAACGACACAGAAACCAATACTCCAACACTCTAAAGCAATGCTACAAATGTGGTAACCAATTCGGACAAAACCACTTACAATCATGTCCCGCAAAGGACAAAATTTGTTCTAAAAGCGCCAAACGGGGCCATTCGCCAAATGGTGTCGCTCAGGAAATGTTAACTATCTGGCGGACCGTACCAACGAAGTCGGACAAGAAGAAACCGAATCAGAGAGTCAAGGAACAGAACTCGATCCAGTCGTCTTTGCTGATTTTACGTCAAAAAATGGTTGGGAGGAGTATCACGTCGATAGTTTTTCAGTGATGGCAATATCAGCAGCATTTGAAATAAAGCACGCAGCAAATTTGTCCGAGGAGGATTTAAATGGACACATCATTAAATTGAAGACAAAAACAGAAGACTTAATTGCAATCGCTGACTCCGGGAGCCCAATGTCGTTTTTAAACAAAGAAACCGCCCGGCGGTTACAAAAGAATGATAAATCCGTAATTTTGAAATTAATTCCACCGGAAGATGCGGCTCGGAATTTAGCATGCAACAATGGTGAAACAATTGAATCGTAGATTGATCGTAACAATTGAATCAGGAGGGTGGAAAATAAGAGCTGCTCCATTCATCATCGTAGATAACCAAAAAGCAAACATCATAGGCAGGAACATCCTCCCACAAATTGGAATAAGACTAATACAAGAAAAACCGAAACTAGGGTACGTGCTGAATACACATGAACAAGAACAATCAAACCCGGAAATCAAACAATGGGTAAAAAATAACTATCCACAACTATGCATTCCTGTTGGCAAGTCAAAACATGACGTAATGAGGACCCAATTCAATAAAGAATTTATTCCGGTACAGCAGAAAGGACGCCGTGTCTCGGTTCATCAACAAGAACGAGTAGAAAAAGAACCTAACAAATTCATGAACAAAAAAAAACATTATAAAACTGGATAAATGTTCAGATCGACAACTCATCAGTCCAATCGTGATTACCGCAAAAAAAGACCAGACGACGAAATTGGCGCTAGACTCAAAAGAGGTAAATAATTTTTTTCATAGGAATAAATATCAAATGCCTAACATCGATCTACTATTAGACAACATAGCACAGGTGATCAAATCGAACAACAATGAGCAAACTCTATTCTCAACATTAGATTTGCGCTACGCGTATTCACAAATCCCGTTGGACAAACCAACTTGGGAACAATGAGATTTCGGTTTGATTTGGTGGCAATGCTACAGGAACCTTCCATTTTCAAGCTGGATTTTACGGCCTCACGGATATGCCAGCTGAATTTCAAAAGGCCATCGAACTCACACTTACAAATTGTTCAAACACCTACGCATTTTTAGACGACATATTGATTGTGACCAAGAGGTCGATCGATATACACAAACAAAATCTACAAACGATTCTTGAGGATTAGTTGGTGAAAATCTTGCCATATCATTGGACAAATAATAGTTTGCTTGTAAACAATTTGAATGGCTAGGGTACACTATAAATAGCGAGGGCACTACATCTTTGATACGAAAAACAGAGGCAATTGGAAAGTTCTCCCCTCCAAATACATTTAAACAACTAAGCTTCATGGTTTATATACACCACCTCACCAGGTATATCCCAAATTTAGTACAAACAGCAGCAGCATTGAGGCCACTTTTAAAAAAGACACTGAAAAATAAACCAGTTAACTGAAAATCTGAACACAATACATCCTTTGGAAACAATAAAATAAAAAATTAGTCCCTGAGATAACACAAAACAAACATTTTGAACAACACCTAGAGACACGTATAGTAACTGATGCTTCTTCATCAGGATTAGGGGCGTCGCTTGAACAATTTTCACCAGAAGGTTGGGTGGCAATCGCCTATGCATCAAGATTTCTGAACTCCCTCGAGGAATTGTATTCAGTCAACGAATTCGAATTACTCGGTGTAGTGTGGGCAATTGAACACTACAAATACTATCTGTACGAGAAATATTTCACCGTCATCACAGACCATCAAGCTTTGATCAGCGCTTTAAACGCACGCGAAAAATCGAAAAACAGACAAAGTAGATTATCCAGGTGGATTGATCGACTAATCCCATTTCACTTCGATATCAAACACATAGCCGGTAACAAAATGGGGCTAATAGGATAGGTCACGCAATCCAGTTGGATTGGCAATACCCCCAAGCGAGTATGATGAGGAATTTGTTGTTGCATCCTTTAATACATTCACAAACAACTTGGAGGTGATTGACAACGTCATTCTTAATGAGTTAGCCAATCAGAATCTAGGACCGCATCAGCCTATCAAAAAGCGCGCAGAATATAAAAGGACAACAATTAACACTTCAAAACCTGACTTGAATAAACATTCTTTCAAAAAATTCCGCAAGCGGTCAATTGCAAACGCAAAAACCAGATCAGTTCTGCTCAAATCATTCTGAAAATCAGTCAGCTCTGACGCGAAACATAACCTTGAGACAACATTCACTAGTATCTTTGGAAAATTCAACAAACTTCGTCAAATTCATCCATAGACAACCGAATATGAACTGAAAACAGAATCTCAGGCAATACAAAGGCGGATTCATTCTGGACGAAGTGAAATCACTAAACCCACGTGGTCGAAAGGAGGAAAAAGTACTCAACTGGCAAGGGAAATCGGACAGGGAGGAAAGCCTCTCAGATCCTTGGTGGCACGAACGACCACCAACGAAGAAGAAAACAGCAGCCAACACCTCGGAAACTACACAAATAAATGTCAAGGACGCCAGGGAAATACGTTCCTCAAGGTCACCACCAGTCAAAATCTTCCCGCCAATCACTGAAGAAAATACACAACCAGCCAAGCAGCGCATCCCCAAAATAAAGACGACACAGGCGGTACAAACGAACAACTTTAAAGTGTTAGTGGGAACTCAAACAGACATTACTGAGGAACGGCCTGAGACACAAGAGGTGTTCATGAGTAGAATAAACTACGATATTGCAAGCCAGGAGGAAGGTGCCCCGAATGAACAACCGCCCACTATGACAAGAACACAACCCGAAGCCACACAAATGAAATCTAGCCACCATTAAATCACAGAAGAGATAGTGGCAACCGTAAACCAGACAACAATGACGGAAGCAGAGGAGGACACACCGCTGTTCCCACAAAGACTGCAGAAGGTCCTGGGGGTCAATTTCATCGCCGCAGCTACCAAAAAGGACAAGCATCTCAGACCGCTCATTAATTTTGAGAAAAAGCGGGATTGGGACGCGATAAAATCCGCCTACGGACAGTATTGGTTTGATGTCTGCAACAGACTGCATGTGCGGGAGGACTGTCTGCTGATTGACGAACGCATCGTGATCCCAACACAGTTGCGCCAAACAATACTGAAAAGCCTACACTTGACACACCCAGAGTCGCCCGCCATGCTGAATTTATGTCAAAACGTGTGGTTTCCACATATCCACTGATCAATCGTCCAGATAGCAAAAAATTGCAGGCAATGTACAGAGCAAGAAAAAAACCTTAAACCAGTAATAGGGAAAAATCATTTATTCCAAACAAATTCGCTCGTAGAACCAAATGAAGAAGTACAATTAGATTTTGCCGGGCCCCTTCCCGATGAATTAAATAAGGACGCTTACATACTCGATGCTATAGGCAAATGATCAAAGTTTCAGACAGCGAAAGTTGTTTCAAATACTACAGCGGATGTCGCCATAAAATTCATGCAAAGGTTTATTTCCAAGAACGGAGTACCCCGTCGACTAAGATGTGATCAAGCACATACATTTACGGCAAAAAAAATTCCAACTTTTTTTGTCATACATATCATATTAAGTTACTTTTTGCACCGGGAGACGATCATAGAGCCATAGGGGTGGTAGAAAGAATGATACAAACTTAAAGCGTCAACTAGGGGTTATGAGAATAGATCCAGCAAATATACCATACAAATTAGCTTCGGAAGTTGCCAAGATAGTAAAAATTTTGCGCATAACACCACATGGTGCAACAAAAATTTTACCTTTTGAAGCACACATGTGCAAAATCCAAATACTCCTCTTTCAAACTTGGCAACAACTAGTTCACCCACCAATCCTAACTGGGAAAAAGTAAAACACGCGTGTTTGGATCAAAAAAACCTCACAAAGTCACCTCTGCCAGCTGCAATCATGTACGACTTGCAACATTGGTCGGAGGACGAAGTTTCGATCAAACAACGACAACAGCTACATCCACAATCAATTGGAGCAGAGGAGACATCAAAACAAACACTAGCTACGAAACGCAAACGCAATATAGCAATAAAAATAGATAAAATAAACAATAGGTATAAAGGAATACAAAAATTCACAGACAAAAACATTAGCAAACGCTTAGATGAAGTGGCAAGAAAAAAGATCCGAATGGCAACTAAAGTAAAAGATCCCAAAATTTTCCAACAAAATATGAAACAATCGACGGGAAAACTTTAACATACACACCA